TTGCATCGAGACCATACACTTTTAAAAGAAAAAAAAACGCGTAATACTTTTATTTGATATATAATTTTATATATTAAAAATTAAAATAAGCAAATGATTAAATTAACTTTCAATAACTATTAAATCTTTTTATCAGTAGCTTTGTGAACAATGACGAAACAATATTATACTATATTCAAAGGGTTAATTACCTTTTTAATCGGATTTCACTATTATTACACGAATACAAGACGATTTTGGATTCACATGAATAACTACCGAGCATTAAATGCTTTTGTATTAGATTGAAATTTAATTAGAGATACATAAATCGGTTGCACATACCTGTAATACCCCATATATACGTATAGATTATTTCGTGGAATGTTTTCGAAAGCATAGTATAATAATCCTTTCATTAATATTGCTCAATTGATAGTTAATGAAATTATTTCTATTTTTAAATAGTTAGATGTTCCTCGTATTATATAAAGAAATCATTTGTTAGGGTATGTGATTATGCGATAATACACCCTCTCCCCTCTTAAAAGCATACATGGAAAATTAATGCACCAGTCAGTTTGATTCAACATTATATATCTCGATTCGTTAATTATTAATAATTAAAAAAAAAATATATGTCCCTCTTTTATTACCTACGATATTCATTTATTTGAATATTCTAAAATATAGGAGCATGGCGGTTTAATTTAAATTTCTACGTTCATTAATTGACAGTGAAGTGTGTTTATAAATATACGATTGATCATAAATCATATTATTCAATTAACGATTAAAATAATAAATATTTAATAACTACGACGGCGAATGAATTTTTTCTTCAAACTTCTCCTCCCTACTTTTTCAATTTTATTTTAAAATTATGCTTTTATTTAATTGATGAAATTTAATATTTTTAACATGCATACACACGTCACAAACATATACATACATATACCTGAAATATTAAAATTTCTTTCTCCGACGAGATCATTTTAAAAATTTACTCTTCAACGAGAAACACTTTTTATAATACGAAATACATAGACCGAGAAACGTTCTTACTACAAAAAAAAAATAGAAAAAAATACGACGTAATCTCTTTATTATTGTTAATAATCTGAAGTAACTATCTATGAAAAGATACCAAATATTTAGAAACTTTTTTAGACCACTGAGATATCTAAAAACGATATTATAAAAAGTATATTAAATTTATTTTCGAATATAAGCGTCCATGTTTTATTGCTATACAAGTGATATGCATATGTGCAGGCGAGTATGTGTATGTGATATACATTTATATGCATATATGTATGTATATTAAAATTGTATATCAGACGAAATATATTTCATGGGATTAATTATTTAAATATTATTAACTAGAGCATCCTTAAATTAAAAAAATGATATATAAAATTATATCTAACGTAAATGAAAAGATAAATGAGTTTAAAAATGTTTAGTACCTAATATATAGGAACACATCTTATTGAAAGCAGAGAAGAATGACGACTGAGAGGGAAAGGGTATGGTAAAGGTTAATATAATCGAAAGATCGTTCAATGTTTTGTTTATACATAATACTCGACTCCTCGACTGGTATTCATATTCAACTATCGTCGGTTTTATTCTATTACGAAATTTTTCTTATTTTAAAAAGAAAAAAATATCACGCGAATTAACGTTAACATAATTATTATATTGTACATTATTTTCGTGAAAAATTGTATAACTTTTTCTAATATATCTACAAACGGAGATAGAGAAAACATAAACACGATTTTCCACCACAGAATAAGTTTTCCATTCAGCTAACAATAACTGTGTGAGGGGGGAGTTATGGAAAGATAAAAATTGTCAGGTGCGTTTTCCCGTAGAGTTATTAAATTTAAGTAACTTCGAGTGTAAGGTTTTGAAGAAAAGAAAAAAGAGATAGAGTAAAAGGAAAGGTAAAAGAGAGAGAGAGAGAAAGAGATAAAGGGAGATAGTGGTAAGAGAAGGAAGAAGAGCGTGCAGCAGCAAGTCCTGTCGATTTATCTTCCGACAGAGAAGGGAATGTTCTCCGAAGTAAATGTCGGTTGTAAATCAGGCTGCATTTTCTTCGACCACGTGCAACAAAAGCATGTGCGTGATGTATGCAGAGGTTGGCAGTAAACTGAACTCTCAAGGAAACCCCCTTACTACTACTCCTTTCCACGATTTAAAGAGATTACTGGATTCGACGAAACGATTGCGATATCCTATTCGTCATTTTGACAATTTAGATCTATTAATTAAATTGTCATGTTATTTTGTAAAACCATGAAGAAGTATTATAATAATCGATCTATCTCTATCGATTATAACGTAGATAATATTCTCTCTCTTGAACATTATTACGAAAGGACATTATAATCGTATCGATAATATTCTATATATAATTACTCGTCAGAATATTATAACGAATATTCATTGTATATTTCGATTTTCGAGCGTGAACTGCCAAATAAAGGGTATACACGTTTACGCGATAATTAAATTTTCTACTTTTCGCGATAATTAAACTTTCGATTTCACTCGTTCGCTGGAAATGATATTCAAGTAAATCTGTTAGATTTAGTATACGGAACACACCATCACTACTATTACTACTACCACTACCACTACTATCACCATCATTTTACCAAACAGCCTTCTCCTTCCTATTCGCATTATTTATCATCTCGAGAGATAGAAGGCGTGATCCTAAATTAAATTCGCAAGAGCGGCGTCTGGATTTAGAGTTAATTTAACTTTTACTTACTTGACTTTCATACAGAGGAATAATATATTTATGAAAAGCCATCGCGAGGGGTTCGAGAGTGGAAATCAACTTCACCTAGGGGGATGGACCGTTTAACGAAAGAACTTGTTAAACCATAGATGGAAGATTACGCCGCATTAAAGAAATTACTCCATCAATTTTTCCTCAACCTCAAATGCCTCGGAGCTATATATATATATATATATGTGTTAACTCTTGTCTTCCTCTTTCTTTCATTATTAACACTTTTAAAACGATCACAAAAATACAAATGATGCGATACAAAAGTTAAAATATATCCAATCCTAATATAATAGACGAACCCCCCCGAAAATGCTTGCTTGCAATTTCGCGTTTAATCGTTTCCATCTATCTAAATCAATAGTCACTAATTAGTCGCGATTAGATTGCAAACCCGCATGAGTTTATTATTTAATGACCACACTGGAATACGATATATATATACATAATACGGTTTGTGTTCACCTATCCTATTCGTATTGTGCTACAGAGTATGTGAATGGGCACACAAAACGATCAAAAACATTGACCGCAATTCATCGTCTATCGGCATTGCCTCCTGGTTAAGTAATTTTCTAACAAATCAAATCAAACATTTTTTATCTCGTTCATTTTCAATTGTAATTTAAATAAGAACAGTTTTATTTAATATATTTATGAAGATTTTCTCACTTGGAAACTTATCAAATGAACATTCTTACTTCAATTCTCGCTATATCGAAAGATATTATTTCTCCCAAATCCCTCATCCCTCTCCTCCCTCCCTCCCTTCGAATCACTAGCGGAGGACAATCTGTTTCAGAGTTAGATTACGTTTCAGCTACGGGGATTCACTGATTTCCATTCGCTTATATATACATAGAAAACAGTGGCATGAGTTTGGTGTTACAGGCTTTGGCGTTGGCGTTTGCGTTGGCGTTGGCGCGTATTCGAGTAATCACCACTAGAAGTAGTCTTTTACAGTCCCTTTCTGTTTATATCTTTCCTTATCTTCTCCTTGATTCCTCCTCCTCCTCTACTCCTTCCCCACTTTTCCTTTATCCCTTTCTCTTTCTCTTCCTCTTCCTCTTTCAGTCGTGCCATAAGCCGTTTTCGTATTACACCTGCGGTGGCACGATAAAGAACACGATCACCGTAATACCAGTAAAAGCTACATATACTTGACTCGCGTGTGCCACGATAATCGAATGCAAGCGACCATTCCCGTAATCTTAGTAAGAAGATCTCAACGTTTTACTGACAATGCCATTGCATTGCGTTGCATTGCTTTAGCCCTTTTGATATCGGGGATCGTCTCGTATCATGAATCCTTGATGTGAACTTCTTAACTTTTAGAGATAGCTTTTAGGACAGTATTTTTTTTTGTTTAATCGAAAAGAAAATTCATGGAATTTTTTTTGGTTTATTCCAATTTTATGTGTATTATATTCCTACTTTTTTGTTTGTTTAATATAATCTTTTTAGTATAATACAAATTAGATAAATAATGTGTGATATTTACTTATTGATTATAATTTAATAAATTGCTCGTAAATATAGGTAAATAATATTTTTTTATTTTGTAAAATAACGAGAACAAATTATAATGCACGTAAAAAATTAAAATTTATGCACTTTGTAACGATTGAATAATCTATTTATACGATATTCGATATAATCGCACGATACAAGCGCACAATCAACGCGTACTATTAACAATACGATGTAATGATACTCTAAAATATGCTCATATAATACGGTCAGCAAGTATATACATGAGCATTATATACAATATATAGAGGAACGAATTACCACGAAACTAAAGGACGACATTTCCAGTTGGCGAAGTTATCGAGCACAGCGTGCGGTACTTGGCGAGTTACGCGCGTGTAAGAGTTACACTTGGAAAAATGAGAAAAGAAAAAAGTAACAAGTGGACCGACGGAAGCTTTTGCACTGTTGCATGAAAAGAGAAATGACAAAAAAGAAAAAGAAAAAAAAGACAATGTTTTGTCCAGTATCGTCCGTAGAAAATAATTTAAAAAAAAACGAAATTAAAAACAACAAAAATACACACACACACACACACACACACACACACACACACACACATACACACACACAGAGGTATATACATATCAAATAATCGTAGAATCGAAATATCAATCGAATATATGAAAAAAAAATAAAAAAGAATACATATCATATATGTATATATGATTACTCACTAACTCACCGGAATTTAATGATGAATTATCTGTACGTGCTTGTCCAGCAATAGCTACCACTATCAGGAATGCCATAATAAGTATACGAAAACGTTCGGGATAATGTTTAATTCCCGTAAGACATATCACGTTAATACGTTCACCATTCATCGCGGCGAACCTTTGTCCCTCCTATTACGTTCTTCTCACTGTTCATCGGCACCGTAGAAGAAGAGGGTGCGCGACCTTCATCCCGACTGAACTATCGCGCTCTGCCGAGACCAACGAATACCCGCCGCCGTGTTCGTCTCTCCTCCGTTCGCGCCTTTCCGTTCAACCCCACCATCCCCACCGCCACCACCACCACCACCACCATCTCTTCAACCCTCCGCTAACACTTTAGAACCCTTGATACGCGCAGCCGCGACAAAGTGAAAGAGAGAAAGAGATAAAAGAGTCCTCTTGCCGATTCTTGAGTTTTACCTTCTTCTTCTTCTTTCTTTTTATCTATCTTTATCTTTCTCTTTCTCTTTCTGTCCCTTGCCCCCATCCTCGCCACCCATCTCTTCAATCCTTTCCCGACTACCATCATCACCATTCACCCCTTTTCCTTTCCTTTCTCTACATTCCTCTTTGTGCTTCGTACCACCTCACTCAACTCTTCTATCTCATCTCTACTTTAATCTCTCGTACTTATCTCTTATCAATAGATGATGATTAATTATCGCTCAACTACTCTGTGTTTCTCATCTCTTGCCCGTCAGCGAATCCTTATTCTTACACCTGTAGAACTTACCTCTTACTAACCCTTTACCTAGCCCGCACAAAACGTTTTAACGTCTTATTTTGTTTTCGAAAATATATTTAAACTTTTGATTCTCCATATTGAATGACATTACAACGAATGAAATCCCTTTTTGCATTTACCCCAAATCGGTTTAATATGATGTTTATTTATGATTTATTTGGGCAAGACAGCTTCGTGAATTACCTTCAACAATCTTATTAACGTCATTTACATGCATTGTTTTATATATATATATATATATATATATATGTCAAGTATGTTCATGTGAAGATGAATTAGATTTTTTGCGTGGAGGGACAAAATGTTCAGTGCAAATTTTGGTCATGATACGTCAAATTTTTTTTTTATACTTATACAGAAAAAATAGAAATAATAGAAATATAGTATGACTATTACGTAAAGGAATGTTGAAAAGTTATCAGTTTTCTTTCCTTATTCGTATCTTGCAACAGTGAATAATTACATTTTAAATAACGTTGAATATTTCTGAACACGTTATCGAAATAATTGATTAACGAATGATCGGTTTTTTCAATGATCGTTGCGTACTCGTTGCGAATACTTTTATTTATTAATAGGAAGACCATTGAAAACTAATTTCTCTAGTCATCGATGCTAGACCATCAATCATTGTTTCATTCGTATAATGATTCTTTTGATCCTTCCTACCGCTTTACGACAAATTGGAAACACCTGTGGAGCGCATACTGAGTGAACTTTTAAAATTTACGTGCTTCGACTTCACAGTGATCAAGCAAAAATAACTTCATTAGTTTCGCAAGACTTTTCCTGTATTTGCTAATAAATTAAAAATCATCAACGTGGATTATTTAAACAATCAATTTAAAGAAGAGGAAACTGTGTAGGAATAAATATTATACCAATTATGAAGACTAGTTTTTGTGTGTGATATTATTATTATTTTACTTAAAAAAAGTAAACCTTTACGAATGCATTGGTCGTAAAAAAAGAATAAAAATTGCGTATACGCGTTTGAAACTTGACCGGTTCGTACAAATAATCAAAAAATGACGTAGATTTCGATTGGACATATATGACCGCATAGTATTAAATCGCATTGAAGTTTGGAAACTAGGGTTTAAGTAGAAAATAGCAGAGAAGAGAATGACCCGACGTGGTTTATCGATCGTATTCCGCTATTGGAAATAATTTAACGCTACTGTCAGATTGTGATTAATAAGGCGCATTGTGAAATATGATCTCCACTAGCGGGAATATTGGCTCAAAAGACAACGAACGAAAAGTCGTATTCGTTGATGGAGCACAACACACATACTTCCGATAAAGAATCGTTTTAAATATGATTGATGTGACCGCGTAACGAGCCCCGAGATTCGAATCTCTCTCTTCTTTCTGTAACATTTTTTCGCTTTATCGATGTACATGTAACCACCGTTCGTAATGTGTGCGAAGCGCATGCGTTTAACCAGCACGCGTGACAGGAATGTAAATTTTACGTAGGAGGTGGAGGAGGTAGGAGTTACGTTGCTCTCTTCGATAATTTACCTAACAAATTCTGCGATGCACTTAATGACTGTGATTAGCTATCATCGAAGGGTCCGTGACCATAGTTATTGAGGTCAACTTCAACGGATCTTCATTGATGCTTGTGGTTATCGCGTGATATCAAATATTACTACTATACGAGTATTATTTTGTCAATCACAGTTTATACAAATTTTTTAACTTTATATATATAAAGAAAAAATCGTAATGATAAGAAAAACAAAAATATTGTTTTGTTTAGTCTTTAACGAGACTTACAATTTGAAAATAATTGAAACGTTTCTATTATCCAACAAAGAAAGAAATCGTGTTTTACAAGAAAACGTAAGCGTTGAAAAGAGTGACGTACTGAAAGGGGTGGACTTGATATCACGATATTACAATATTGTGGGCACACGGATAAAAGAGCAGAAAGTGGATAGGTTGTACTTGCAGTTTCTTAGGTTGGAAGGCGTGTCCGTGAGACGGTTAGGCGCCAGAAGACACACTGCTATTGTAGCATCCAACTTCTGAGGACAGTGTTGTTGCTCCGGATCCTCGTCGTCTCTCTTCCTCTTTATAACTTACCTTCTTTAGTACCACCCTACAAACTTCATTCTTCTCTTTCCCTCCTCCCCTTTTCTAATATCTTTTTTTCCTTTTTCTTCTTTGGAATAACGAACGACACCTTTCACTACCGGTTGTGCAGTCCAACTTGCAATTCTGTCGTTCTTCTTTTCCACGACTAAGATGATTCTACTAAAATCCGTGTTGGATAATAATCGCTATTTCCCTATTTCTCTTACTCTCCCCCTTTCCCCTCTTTCATCCTTCTCATCGTGATATCAACGATCCTCGAGCACCTGTGGATTATGGACAAATTAAGCAATGGGATTACTTTTCATCCGAATGTTTTCTTTCTTTCTTCTTTTTATTATTTTCTTAAGGATAACGTTAGTAAATAGTCTACGTTTAAAAATAAAAAAAGAAAATTTGTTTAAGTCAAATATATTAATTATACGCAGGAAATCATTTCTTTTTTTTTTTTTTTGTAAATACTATACGATAATGCGTTTCAAACTCTAATACTCATTAAATTAATAATTGATCTTAATTGCAAATTTGTTTTGTAATTGTCAATGAGTATTCTAAATAAAATATTATTATATTTTTTAAGAGATAAAGAAAAAGTATAAAATAATTTTCTAAGAGGCGCGATTTTTGTCTTATATTTGTCTTATATTTATATATTTCCGTCAATATTGGCCAGGCAGCTTTCTCGGTATCAGACATAACAGAGCTTTCATCCGGCCCGTGTTGGTCAATACTGGATATATACCGAGTAGTGGGATAAAACAGAACCCCGAAGCATTATGAGGGTACAAGAACTCATTTCAAGAAAAGACGTACCTCTCTCTATATCTCTCTTTCTCTCTCTCTCTCTCTCTTTCTTTATGTCTCTATCTCTATCCAACACCTTCTATAGTTTAGCCGAATAAACCGCTATACTATCCGACAGAAAGTTGAGAAACTCAATAGAAGGAATAGTCCGTTCGTTTCTCTGGCTGGCTACGACATGCGTGAGAGTTGAACCAGATAACACGTTGAGTGCGCTTGCTTGAAAATTGTATCAATGTCAATTGTCTTTATATCATTCTAGCTAAGGTTGAACCCACAAATTAGTTTAAATGAACAAAAAACATCCGATGATGTAAGGTACTTATACTGCTGTTTTACCGTGTGCTCTCTATGAAAAATCTTATTACTCTAAAGATATGTTCTTCTATGGTTCTTTTCTCTTTTCTTTTTTTTCTTTTTTTTTTTTTTAAAGTAAGTCTTTATAAAATAGATAATTTAGGACGATGTAAATGAGAAACTCGAAACAACTTGAATGTTCTCTCAACACACCGCGAGGTATATACTTCTCGTGAAGTGGCAATCTCGGAGGTACTTTTGGGGGTTTTGCCAAACGTCAAGAGCCCCAAGAAAAAATGAAATAGGTAAAAAAAGGTAAAGTTAAAAATTTTATAGATACATCTTTTGGTAGGGTTTGCCTTATCTCGTACACATTCAAATGAAACAAAGGAATATAATAATCGTAAACAATGAATCAAAAATACGCCAGTTTTGAAATTATAATAAAACGCGTGTTAATAAAGATAATCTTATTCTATCAAAATTAATCATTTGTACGTAGTGAATTATCATCATATATACGTTGAAATATATAGAATTAATTATATTAAATAAATTGTGCAAATTGAATAACATATAACACGATAAAATAATTATCTTCCTGACAGAAACTACGTAAATACAGCGGTAAATCTAAACTCGATATCGCAAGAACGAATTCTACATATCGCGGGAAACCTAAAAGTATCCTAAAAGTAGGACGTTCCTTCATTAGAGGCTATAAATGCCCACAAAGATGATATCGATGTGTCCAGAGCTTTCCGAGTTTCCGTAGAAGTCGTCCTCTGGGAGAGGACGAAAAGAAGCTCGTGATTGAACGGAAAACTCGACGTTTCAGTGAGAGAAGAGAGAGTGGTCGTCGAAGACGAAATACTACCAACCTACCTACATATAGATACACACATACATTAAAGGTAGTATCAGTCCCTATCAGTAAACAAGTACATACGTTGGAGATGCGAGGAAAGAGGGGTCTGGCTTCGATCTACTTCGATGACAAGAAGAGCACTTTCTCTATATATAGAGAAAATGTGCTTCACATTCACTTGACGATGCCTAGGATAGGCTAGCCAACGATGGTGTAGATGTATGCTAGAAACCATATCACGAGCCGGTACTTGCACCTACCTCTTTACCTTTCCCATAGCCCAACTCCTATGTTTCTACTCTCTCTCTTACCATTCCTCTCTCTACGACCACAAAGTTACATCCACGAAATTGCGTTTGTCAACAGTGGCTAATTGCCACCGGGAATGTTGTTCAACTACGAAGTGACGTATAA